TAGAACAGGAGCTGAAACTGAGAGGGGTTTGGCCTAATCCAGTCGAGTGAATTAGGTCTGAAGAGACTAGAGCAGCCTTCCACCTGTGAATTCTTGAAACTGACCAACTAGTGCACTGCACCCTTTTCAGACAAGGCCACCTTGAGGAGAAAATACTACTAATAAAGTAACAAGAATTGAGGATGACAGTGAACTAATTTATTACCTTGAAGACTGGTAAATAAAGGAAAAGTAATTTATCTTGCTTTTCCTATGGGAACTGTACCACTGGGCAACCAAATAGTAGATAAGAGGAAATGTCTCTTTATAGAGGAATTCCAGCTAATAACTAAAACAGATATGATATAATTAGAATATCACCATTTTGCAACCCCTAATAACTTACTAATTCCAGGCATTGAGCAGAAACAGCTAATAACATTGCAAAAGACAGACACAATGTGCTTCTCGATGAAAGAACACTTGCTGCCAATGTCGGCAACCACCTGCGTCTGCTCAAGCCACTGGGTCCAGCTGTCAATTTACAAGTCACACAAAGGACAGAGGAACATGTTACACTTCGCCAGGGGTGTGTAATCAGAAAAACCCAGGATGTGAGAAATTATAAAGGTCAAATGGCCCAGTTCTTCAGCGATAAATTATAAGGAAAAAGAAGGGAAGGAGAGGAAACCTATAGATTTTTAAAAGACTTTAAAAGGCACATCAAAAAAATATTTTTAATTGGCAAGACCAAGTTAGGGTCTCTAGATACACATTTGGGTAATAAAACTATCAAGAAATGCAGGAAAGTGATTACCAAATCAGGCGGTGGGGGAGGGAGGGATTCGTGATGGGGATGGGGCAAATGAAGGGGTTTCTGGTATGGCTGGCAAAGTTCCCCCCCCTTTTTTTCAGTTTTTCTTTTGTTATTTCAAGAAAAAACGATTTTAAATATAATAGTGTTACATGCAATAAACCTTAATATTTCAAGAAAATGATCTTAAATATAATAATGTTACATGCAATAAACATTAATATCTCAAGAAAAACAATTTTAAATATGATAACATTACATGCAATAAACACCAATTATTCAAGAAAAATTATCTTACATATAATAATACTGCGGGCAATAAACATTAATTATTTCAAGAATAAAAGGATTTTAAGTATAATATCTGTGAGTGCCTGGCCAGCCCTTACGCTCCTCCACCCCTTCTTCTACCAGTCTCTATGCGGTCTCCATCTTGGGTATCAGGGTTCTCTCCTGTGAGTTTTCAGTTTTAGAAAACTTTAAGAGGGTGCCTGAACTTTTAGCTGCCACTCCCTGGCTGACAGCACCCCACTACTTTTCACAGCTAGATGTTATGTGGGTACCCTCCTCAGTTGGGTGCTTTCTGCTGGGGAGCCCAGCTTTGGGATTAGATCCCAGAGTTCTTAGTGGCACCCCCCAGAGCTGAGATATCTCTCTGGACATCTGTGAGTGCCTGGCCAGCCCTTACGCTCCTCCACCCCTTCTTCTACCAGTCTCTATGCGGTCTCCATCTTGGGTATCAGGGTTCTCTCCTGTGAGTTTTCCATTGATTATTCAGAAAGCCTTCAAAGTTTCCCTTTTTTAGCAGAGTAGGTTTGACAAGGTAGTTCATCTTATAATAATTCATTATATTATAGGTTTGTGTAGTTTCCTTTTGTGTTTTATTTTATGAATAAAAAAGGGTAAAAAAAGATTGAAAAGGGGTCAAAAAAGATTAAAAATATATATCTCCCAACCTATTCCCTGTCTCCATCTAAAGTCCGCACTTAAGTCCTCCTTGTTTCTCGTTTGGATCACTGCAACAGCTTCTGAACTGGACATCCTGACGCCTTGTTAAATTGCAACTACCAACCACCCCAGCCTCACACCCCCTTATTCTGCTTTTTCTTCTTAATATTTATCACCTCCTAATATGCTGTGTGATTAACTTACTATGTTCATTGGTATAGTGTCTATGTCACTTCACTGGAGGTGGTGAGCCCCACTGTCCCCACCCCACAAGGTCCCAAAAAATAAGCCTAAATCCTTCTCCGTGAGACAGCCTCACATATTCAAAGATAGCTATTGTGACTTTCCTAAAAGCCTCTCATCTTAAGGCCTCATATATCTCCAGGTTCTCTAAATTCTCTTCATATCATAGATTCTTCTTACTACTCCGGCCATTCTTCCCTGAGCCAAGTCCAATCTAACTTGTCCTCTACTATAGTCACTTCCTCACTGACCTCTCTACTTCACTAATCCCACTAGACCAGGGGAGGGGAACATCCGACCCACAGGCCATATAAGGCCCAAGAAATCATTTGGTCTAGCCCTGCCAAGGCAACCACAGCCAGAACTCAAAATTCAAGCAGAGAGGCTGGGAGGATATAACCTTTACTGGGTAGGATAATCTCCTTCAGTCACTTCCTTGTAGCCTATCAGTAGAGCAGTGACCTTGGAATAGCCCTTGTAATGGAACACAGAGATTAACCTAGACAGGATTAAAATCAACAGAACTAGATAGAGACAGGATTTTTGGCAAAGGTCAGATAAGAAACAAGGAACTGTAGAACGTTACCCAAAACATACCATGATGTGATTATAGAGGCATGCCTATAGGATCAAATGGTATAAATACAGATGTAATAGGATAAAAAAAAGAACCTGGCTATGATGATCAACTGAACGCTGGCTCTGTGTCATTCCTTCTTCGCCGACTCCGTCCACACCTTGGGGAACCCCTGGACCTACTGGGGCTGGACCCCAACACACTGAGCCAAACTGGCTAGGGCCATTCATTATTAACATAAACTATTTTTATTAAAAAAAAACACCCTGTATATTCAGAAATAAAACTTAACGAGAAAAAGAGGCACTGTCTTAGATTTTTGCAAAAAATCTAAGATGTTTGGCTTAACCCCTTCCCCAACAATTTTTTTGTTAAAAACGTTTCTTTTTCAGACTAATTTTTTTATTTTGGTTCTATATAGTATTTTTGATGCTGGTTATGAAAACAGTTTGTAACTCGTCTTCCTATAAACCATATTTTTTTACCATATTTTCTTAGTATACTCGTCGACGACTGAAAAAGAACATTTTGTGAAAACGAGTATACACGTTTCTGCCGGGGAAGGGGTTAATAAAAGGCAGCTGGATTCTGCAATATTCTGTGATATTCCAACCCACCATGTCGTTTCCATTGATACATGTGGAAAAAAATCAGTGTCACACAGATTGTAACTGGAAAGGGGGAGGGTAATGTAATATCCTTTTCTAATAATGTTGATATTCTCCTTTGATAGTACACCAAAATTTGACAAGTAGTAGTTTCAATTAGTTGCAATTTTGAATTTGATTATCAATAAACTTCATATTTTATTACATAAACATGTATTATAGATCTGCCTTACACTATGAATCAATCTCCTATTTATACATAATTTTGTAACATTAAACATTGATCATTTCAAATATATCAACTAAGTGATGCAGTGGACACATTTCATTAAACAATATCAAAAAGTAGCATTCTTTAACATCACCATCAATATAATCAAAGTCTTTAAATATTGGGAAGCCATCAAGTTCACAGTGGTGAACACAAGCTTTATAGAATCTAATTTTTATTTAAAGCATGAATTTTATCATTGGTAACACATAATGGTTTTCTTTGAAATGAGGCTCACTTTATTCATATAGAGAAAACATCTGCAAGTCAACAATAGCTTGTCAATCACTCTGAAGAAAAATGGTGTTTCAGTTAAAAAAAAAAAAGCAGTCCCACTTGTAACTCAATCAATGAATTAATTGCAGGGGTGCTTTTCCTCTTTTTTGTGATTAATCACTATGCTTTCATTATGTTCAATTTGTAACAATGAAATTGGGGGTCACCACAACATGAGGAACTGTAGTAAAGGGTCTCAGCATTAGGAAGGTTTATTTCTACCTCAGTTTCTGGCTCCTACCCAGTCTGGCTCTGGTCCGGGCTTGGGCAGGAGGCAACCAACTGATGTGTTTCTCTCACATCGACATTTCTGTCTTTCCCTCTCTCTCCCACTCTTTCTAAACATCAATGGGAAAATATCCTCGGGTGAGAATTAAAAAAAACAAAGGTGGGTAACCTGCTCCGAAGGTCAAATCTGCAAGCTTCTCCTCCCAGGGGGTCTGGAATGAATGTCCTTTTTTTTTTTTTTTTAACATATTTTATTGATTTTTTTTTTACAGAGAGGGAGGGAGAGGAATAGAGAGTTGGAAATATCCATCAGAGAGAAACATCAACTAGCTGCCTCCTGCACGCCCCCTACTGGGGATGTGCCCGTAACCAAGGTACATGCCCTTGCCCGGAATCGAACCTGGGACCCTTCAGTCCGCAGGCCGATGCTCTATCCACTGAGCCAAACCGGTCAGGGCCGGAATGAATGTCCTTGAGCATCTCCAGGAAGGCCTGCGGGGATGATGCCTCCACATTCTGGAAGTTGTTTTGGACTCTGCCCAACAGGACGAAGTATTTCGCCTCCAGCCAGATGAACCCGAAGTGGTTCTCATCGAACAGGATGAAGACTCCAGGGAAGCGCCTGGTGTAGGCGAAGCCAGGTAAGGTAACAGTAACAGTGTCCACGCCATAGAAACACATCCTGCAGGTTCCGGGGTAGATCTGGTCTCTTGAGCGCACACCCACAGGCAGAACAAACGGGACAGGCTGCTCCTCCGAAGCTGCAGCCCCGGACTCCCCGACGCTGGGCTGGGCAGGGCTCTGCCAGCCATGGCCCTCACTTTCCTCAGTCCCGTCTTGCTGCTGCTGCTGCTCCCGGATCACCTGTCTGTCAATCTTCCTGACCACGCGGGAGAGCTTGTTGAAGTTGCGGAAGATCTCGCCACCTCGCAGCTGGATGCGGTGCCCGAGGTGGATCTCTAACATCCCGATGGAGTCTCCCGTGATCTTCGTGACCCTGGCGTACTTCCCATGGAAGCTGAGCATGACAATCTTTAGGCCGAAGGCATCGTAGTTGCCTTGGAAGAGGCCTGGCCTGATGAGGTCGTCCGGGTGGCTCGGCGGGAGGTAGAGGCGGCGGTAGGCCAGGCAGTCATATTGATAGCTGTCCTCCCGCACCGGCACCAGTCCCAGCGTCAGCACCAGCCCCCGTTCTTTCCTAAGTCTCGCTGTTAAATCCTTTCCGTGGTCTGTCTTGTTGCACTGGAGGGTGAGCCTGTCCTTCTGAATCTGCACGTGGCGGTTGTGGGGCCTGATGTGGCGGCCTTCCATGCACTCCACCGTGGCTGATTTCCTCTGCGGCAGGCGAATTCTGAACGCGGGCTCGAATTGCACTGGGCCATCCACATGGGTGTTAAGGGAAGGCCCGTACGTCCAACCAGTAATGCATAAGCCGTCCACCACGACATTCAGCAGTGTTCTATAGTCCTCAGTATCTAGCTGCCACAATCCCAAAATGTGTCTATATGGGTGGCGCAGCTTCGCATAGCCTTCTCGATAAGACATACCTATCATCTCCAGGTTCTGCAAGTTTTCACAAATGCCATACTCCTCCCGGCAGCGCCGTCTCCAGATGCTGTCGATGTGCAGGATGTGGCGGAATTTGGTGCAGGCCTGGGCCAGGCTGCTCAGATCGGTGCCAGGGAGCGAGGCGAAGATCTCCACCAGCATCTCCACCGGCAGGTCCTGCAGCGAGCAGTGCAGGGGCGGCATGGGGCTCGCGATTCCTCCACTCCCCGCACAGCACCGTGCTGCCGCGTCCGCCTCCACGTGCTTTTCTTCCCGGGCCGGGGCCGGCTTGCCGTCAGCCGCTGCTGTCTCACCTGGGCCCTGGCACTGCTGACGACACCAACATCCCCGCGAAGAGCCCACGCTGCAGAGACCAGCGCACTCCTCCATGTCTCGACGCATAATAGCCACCACAGTGTGGGCTGCTGTGCCTCAGACGGCTTTAAACTGGCTGGTCCCGCCCCAGAATCCAGCCACGCCCCCCATGGCCTAGCCACGCCCCCTCAGAGAGGAGCCAATTGTAGGACTTTAGCAACACTTCCAAAGAAACCCATACCCATTAACAGTTGCCTCCCTTTTTCAGTGCCCCCTCCCTGTCTTCCAGCCCTAGCCCCAGGCAGTCACTAATCTGATTTCTGTATGGATATGCCTCCAGGGATATGCCTATGGGGGCAGGGGACATTTCACATAAATGCAGTCATAATAGCTGGTCTTTTGTGACTGGCTTCTTTCACTTAGCATAACATTTTAAAGTTTTATGTATACTATATTCTAGTGTATGGGTATACCACATTTTGTTTACCCATTCATTAGTTGATGAATACCTGGGTGGTTTCCAGTTTGAGGCTCTTATGGATAATACTGCTATGAACATTGTGTACAAGTTTTTTGTGTGAACATGTTTCCATTTCTTTTGGGTATGTACCTAGAAGTGGAACTTCTGGGTCATCTGGTAACTCTATGCTTAGAATATTGAGGAACTGCCAAAAACTTTTTCCAACGTGGCCCCACTATCTTACATTTCCACCAATGTATGAGGGGTCCAATTTTTAAACATTCTCATGAATGCTTTTTTAAAAAATATAGCCATCCTAGTGAGTGTTGAGCGGTATTTTATTATAGTTTAGAGCAGAGTTATTCACTGTAGGTTGACTTGACCTTGAACTCCATAAGGGAAATCTCTTTTATGCTCAGCCTTCACCCAGCCTCTGCCAAATCTCTCAGGCTCCTGGTAGGAATGGGCTCCTACATGTGAGCAAGGATGGACTTGAGTTCTTCACTTTGAGTTGACCTTGAGCTCTTCACTCTCAAGTGACTAACCTTGCTAGTTCCTTCAGTGAATAGATGCCCTCAGAAAAAAGTTCACAGGATCTGCCCACTATGAACATAATTTTCCTATGGGCTGAGACTGGCCCTGCCCATTCAGACAGGCTTCCATTCTCATGTAGAGAGCAGCTAGATTCCTTCTCTCCACTTTTCTGGATTCCTACCAGAGAAACACTCTCACCTTTGGAGGGTGCTCTTAGTGCCCTGGGAGGAATTTGATTTGCCTTTTGTCAGGAATAGATATTTGGGGTGGTTTATTTGATAGAGGGGTGTAAATTCCATCTGCCACAGACACTGACTTCAATCATTTAAACACTAAAATTTCCCAATCCCTCCTTTGAAGAATAGCCCTATGTTATTATTGGTATGTAACCAGGTAATGGGTGTAAAGACTCTTCTTTTAGGATCCTGTATCGATGGGGTTTTGAGGGACCATCTCCAAGGGTACATGTGTGTCTGGTGGGTCAAGGAGAACCTAGGAATGTGAGTGCAGCTGGTGTATGGCACTAGGAGGGCTTGAACGGCTAGTGAAGAGGTTCAATCATCTTTTCTCTCCCAGGATTGAGAGAGCCAGACACACCACTGCCCTAGGAAGAAATCTGTGTAGGAAGGTCAAAGGCAGGTCCATATATCAAAGAGAGACAGAGGCTGCTGCTATGGTGAGAGTGGAAAAAAATAGAATATTGGGGGATTAGTTATGGTTATGGGAAATACTAATTGTGCTCTGTTAACCATGATTGCCTTGTGTTGGTTCAAGAAAGGACATTCTGACCTGGCTAGGAGTTGTATGCCCCTGGGACCTGGGAGTCAATCTTAAACCAGGGAGTCAGCCTTGGAATGTAGCCCATTCTCATTCAAGAACAGCCTATTGTCATGGAAAGATTAACAACCTTGTTGCCCAAACAATGGAGTCCCACCCCAGCCTCCTACTTCCCCATGCCTGTAATCCCTACTTCCCTTTGTAATCTTTGTTTTACCACATATAAACAGCTGGCTTATAGGGGGCTGCAAAGCAGATTTTTGTGGATGACCTGTTGCTCTCCCATTCTGCTGGCATTATAGGAATAAACGCTCATATATGATTCAACCCTGTCTCTGCTGAATTGGCTCAAGTAGTGACAGGCAGCCCAGACCCTTTGATTGTCCTGTTACACTATCTCTGAGCGTTTTCCCGTGTTGTTCTATCTGCTTACACAGCTCTCCCACTCCATTCACCACCCAAACCTCTACCATTGTCCTGGGCCTCACCTACTAATGGCACATGATCTTGGTCAGGAAGCATCCTGTGAAGCCCCAGGACTTGCCAAGTGCCTCTCCCTGGTATTTACAAAGCACCATGGGTTTAAGTGCCCATCAGTAGATGAGTGGCTAAAAAAGCTGTGCTACATTTATACCATGGAATACTGTGCAGCAGTAAAAAAAAACAATCTCTTACCCTTTCAGGTAGCATGGAGGGACTTGGAGAGTATCAAACTAAGTGAAAGATGCAGTCAGAGAAAGACAGTATCACATGATTTCACACATATGTGGAAGATAATTAACAAAATAAACTGATCAACAGAGAGGATCCAGAGGCATGGAAGCATGGAACAGAGTCTGCTTTTCCTCTTGAAAAACATCTTATTTCAATATACAGCAGAAGTGTCTTATACATACTTTCCATTTTCTCAAACAGAATATTAAAAAAAAATATTTTCAAGAAATTAGATTTAATAAAACTAATAATTGTTTGCTGTTTCATCAAGGACACTAAAATATAACTGGCCTTTTCTTTTACTATAAATGTGTGATGATGAAGAATATAGTGACTACTAGTACATTTTGGTACCAGGTCCCTGATTGGTGCTAAAACACCAGCAGTTAACCCACTGCCATTGTTTTTTACCATCAGCACAATGTTAGCACAATGAAATTTTTTTTTTAAAAAAAGGTATCATTGTATTATACATTATATATCTTATGTACTATCCTATGTAATCTAATAATAGACAAACATGGTAATTGACCGTACCTTCGCTACGCTTCCCATCAGCTAATCAGGGTGATATGCAAATTAACTGCCAACATAGATGGCGGTTAATCACCAACAAAGATGGCGGTTAATTTGCATACGTAGGTGCAATGCTGGGAGTTGAAAGGGGAAGGACGGAAGAAGCCGCCTGCCGCTGATGGTGATCAGAAACCCAGGCGGCAGGCAAGAGCCGGGAGGCAAGGCAAAGGTGGCCCCGCGGCCTATGATCAGAGAACTGGGGCCGCCTTTGCCCGGCCGGTGGTCGGAGAAGCCAG